ACGGGAATCCTCACTCCTCAGGCGCGTGCGATCTTGCGGGACAGGCCATCCTTTCTTGGCGCTTGGACGCCGAATTACTGGATTAAAATATAAGCATAACTCTGCCTCTAGTCTGTGAGTGCCAGACGGAAATGAAAAGAGAGGTGGTTGAGAACAAAAGACATATAGAGGGTTACTAAGGGAGAGATCTCGATTGGGGTCAAGGGTCAGAGGTCAGGCGTGACACCTAGGGGGTGATGCATACACTGCGGTCTCCCTGGGCGACTCATAGAGAGCTCTTCCTTCGCATACCGGCAGTCCTGCTAGGCCACTCACCGGGTGTCGTGCCGGCTGGGCCGTTACAATAGCATTGCCTGCAGAGAAAACAAGACACTAATGCAAGGTTTAATCTTACACTCTTAGAAAAGAGTAAGCAATATCCGGGAAAGGGAGCGAAACTGGAGTTAGCGATTATACTCCTCAAAAACGAGGAAGTACAATCGATATCTACTCCTTTATATGAGCAGAATCCATAACATTTTTAAGAGCGCAAAGCGAGGGAGGGAGAGTACTTTTCAAACCAGTAGAAAAAGTTAGTGGTTATCCTCAGGAAAGAGAGAGGCGAACGACATAACTCCCCTGTTTTTAGGGAGTAAAATCGCTAACTCCAGTTTCGCTCCCTTTCTCGGAAATCGCTCACTCTTTTCTAAGAGTGTAGGCCTATGAGCAGCCCTGACAACGGTTGACTCCAATGATTTCAGTTTAAAAAAAAAAAAACTATTTTTGCAGCTAAAACCTACATCTTAAAAACCCTGAAAATAAAACTGACTTTTGGCAAGTGCCTGGGCCTTTTTCAAAAGTCCTTTCATTACCCTTACAAGAAGACTTATGAATGAGCAGCAGGACTAGGCTAACAACAAATATAGCTGGAAAAGCTGAGATCGGCACAATTCGCGGGAACCAACTGCTCAACACTTGAAGGGAATCATTCGTAGAACACACGTCTACAGGGACGCCTACTTTCATCATACCGCATTGATACTGCGTAATTCGATCAGCTGCCAACAGAAGGCGGGTAACCAGCCCATCCCAGCCTCGTTGGGTCAGCTTCCCACCGCAGGCCCACCTTCTGACCGACAAGTAGCGGGTGAATGTCGTCGATGTTCGGCGGGCCCTCAACTAGTAATGCCACTCTGCCGCGCCCGCCACGATCCCACTCGTGCCGACAGAGGCCCATCACCAGGCCAAAAGAAGCGTGCTACCTGAGTTGTTTTGTATGACTGCAATATGGTTCGTTTCAAGCTCGAGCTATAAATTTATTATCTGATTTATAAGTCAGGTAAACTTTAAGGCATAAGTTTTTTTCTTCTTAGCATAGGGCTCTGCTAGGAAAAAGAAAATGCATTAAATTTCGGAAGGATAAGGGCATATCATACGCAATAAGATCTGGACAAGTAAAGTATGTGGACGTTTACCTGCCTACGTAGCACAAAAGTAGTGGACCATAAGCGGCCCAGGCACTATACTGGAGGATTTCTGCCAGAGGCAGAAAAGTGCCGGCTGGAATAGCATATCACCCAGCGGGCCACCATCGGATATATGACGCCTCAAATAACTTGATCCTGGACTTCCCCCAGTATCATGAAAGTAGTGGACTGTAGACGGCAAAGGCGCTTCAGTAGCGGATTTCTGCTGGAGGCGGGAACGTGGCAGCAAGTGGGACATACAGTTGCTGGACCGCTTCTTAGTGCAGGTGGAGGGTCACCAGCTCTCTTCCCATGATGTAGCTGGCACTCCCCTAGATGCAGTACCAGGAGTCCCTACTAGATGGTACCCATGTTCCCCACACCATACAAATGCGATTAAGTACCTACCTTCCTGATTTAACAAAAGTGTTCCCTCTCCTCTTTCCTCTTTTTATTGTGCAATTTATAAACAGATATGATGAAAGCGTGGAATTATGATGACGTGGAATCGCAATATATGACTCAGGGAATTATTAAATGCTGAAGTAGGGGAATCCAGAAGTGTAATAAGTAGGTTTGAGTGCTTCAATTCCCTTATCCAATCTGCTTGCCATGTACACTCAACCTTCCCTTCGCGCACACCCACTAACTCTTAGCTCTCAGCTCTTTCGCACGCGGACACCTGATAAGGCCCTTCCGTCCAGCTGATTCCGCAAACGCCTTTTGATCTTCGGTGCATCTGTGCTTAACCCATCCGATAAGATGTAAATATAATATCGACTTAAATAAAATCATACTTCACTGACTCATGAAATGAAACGGCTAGGACCCTATAGACCTCACTCCTCTTCGGCTCAAGTTGACCTAAGCACCCCAAAACACTGATTCCAACCTAAATAAATTCGGGTTGCTTTCTCAATAAGGCCGCATAGTTCCTCACTCTTTAATTAAACTCTTAAATATAACAAACCTCAAGGGAGAGATCCAAGGGGGGAAGCAGCTCTCTCTCGAGCTGACTTCTCCCCCATAGCTATGAGTCACCTTCTCAGGGCTAAGTCAATTAGCTTCATGAGGGTCTTGCTCTCTGTCAGCCTTCATGTTGGGAGGATCTCACCATGGCGGGCGAGAGTCATGTCTCGGTCCACCACACCTTTAGCTCCTAACTTTATAAATAAAGAAATAAAAAATAAACATAAAAACTAAATTCTCTTACATGATACGTCTTTTAAGTGGTATACCACAGGGGATCGCGAGCTCTACTCACCCCTTCAGGATTCCGCATTGGATGTGGGAGGGGAATAATGGAAAGCCTTGGAACTATTAGGTACTCTTCAGAGTACGCAACAGCCACGAGTTTTAGAGCTGAATCAGATATACATGGAAAAGCTGTCCCCTTCTGAGCTGTGGGTACACCACCGAGTTAATTTGTTATGTGTTGGCCCTATAGTGGGACGTGCACCTGGTGGCCCACAATCTAATAAAGCTGGTGAGCCACCAGCTCTCCTCTCCCAATGTGGCTGATGGCCCACCACTTATGTACTACTTGAATTGAAATTGTCATGTCCTCGTAGAAAGGGCTGAGAAGGAAATTCTCATTGTATCCAACTGATCGAAGATCTACTAATTCATTTGCTTTGTTATGAGGTAAATTAAGTCCTCCGAGGTATGCATAATCATTTAAAAAATCAGATGCATCTCAAAGACAACTTCAGGATGAGAATGCGAAAATTAATTTCTTTGCTTTTGGCCGAAAATAAATATGAGCTCAAGTATTTGATAATCACATCATCTGGTTCAGAAGAATTTGGCAATTTCTTTTTAAATTGGACAAAACTTCCCATTAATGGTTTCAAAGATGATTCAAGATGTCGTTTCGAAGTTCACAATAAATAATTAGAAGACAAAAGAAAATGAAAATGCTTGTAAGAATAGCTTCAGATTTATTTTCTCTGATGGAAAACAATACGGTGACCCCAGAAAATTAAAAAAATTGATGAAAATGTACGCATTTTTTATGCAAAAGACGTGAAGACCAGATGTTTGAAGATTAACATGTGATACTGGGGAATGATCCACAAGTCACTATACCATTTCAAAAAATCACATCTACAAAACAGTAGCCACAAAAAAGAAATAACATTAACTGAACGATAGCATGTCATTTAGAATTATCTTTGTCGAAAACGGAGGTATTTCTAAGTTTTTCAAGTGACTCAAAATGTCCTTCGCCTACATCAATATACAGGGTCATCTAAAAAGAATTCCGGGATTTCAATGCTTAATATATCGGTAAATTCGAGACATGTAACAATGATGTTTGTATCAGAATAGGTAAAAACTCTCCAAGTTTTATCCTCACCTTTCCCGCGCAATCCTGGTTTCGCAGTGATGGTTGATGCGCATTATTAGTTGCGCGGTGGTATTCACGTTACGTGCCTGACCCCAGTCAGTGAGATGGCGTCCGTTCACCAAAAAGCTCAGTGCGTGCCATGGTATGCCGAGTTCAAGTCAATTGTGACTGTTCAACGTAATTGTCGACGTACCTACGGAACAGAAACGCCTAGAGACAAAACAATTACTCAGTTTAGGGAAACGGGGAGTGTTGAGAAGCAGAAATCAACAGGAAGATCACGAATATCCGAAGAGACTGTGGAACGCATCAGACAGTCATGCGTACGGAGCCCAAAACAATCTATCGCTCGTCGCAATTTGGAACTTGGTGTACCTAAGACTACCATCCAGAATGTGCTGCATAAGCGCCTAAAATTATACGCGTATAAAATTCAACTAAGACATGAAATTAAAGACTTTGATCGCCCAAAACGTGTCGAATTCGCTAATCTCATGTTAAATGAAATTGATGACAATGAAGGCTAAATTTTTAGATGAATTAAATTTTTAGATTTTCAACACATTTTCTAAAAAAAAAAAAGATAACTGAGTTTTGGTCTGTATTTAAAGAGATACAATTTTTGAAATTCCGGAGATCTTTTTCGATGACCCTGTACAGTATATGGCAGGAGGCTCGGCAGTAAAAAAAAATAGCTGAAACTCCCTTTGAACTCTAATGTGACTCTCAAAGACCTCCATCCTGGTAGCAAGCATTCTTTGTTGCTCCGTCAATTGCGAAGCCTTTTCTCATGACAGAGAAAGCAAATAAAATGATACTTCTTTCTCAAGTTTAACTGATAGTAGAAGAAAAAAAATTCAGCCATTTTGTAGAAGAGGATTCAACAAGGTGTACCATAACCGCCGTAAAAAAAAGTACACCTTTCGAAAGTGCATTTGAAGCAATTTCCGTTTGCGTCTAATGCCAAGTAATTATTGCGAAGACAAAAAAAAATTCTGAAGAACGTTTTTTCCATCAATGCTTGCACTAGTGACCTGCAGTTGGGAAAAAATAGCAGTTTGAAATGGTATAGTGACTTACGGGACACACAGTACAATGCCATCACAACTCTTACTAAGCAGGCGGACCCTACATTACCTTGTAAAGTTTCTTTTGGACGCCAGTATATTCCAGAAAATGTTCGGATACTCGATTCAATAAAGTAATGCCAGTCTCTCAAGTTCATCATCTCGTCCGTAATGAATGTAGTCCTTGAAAGCAAACCTTCGAGATTTTATTTCAATGAGTTCGTGGTTTACAGTCGTGCGAGTAGTCTTCGAGGCACCCGTACTTACAGTGGTATGAATACATCCTAGTCGATGTCGCCAAGAAAAGGAGAACTAAGGAAAGATATAAACTCGTCGACGAGATGGATGGAATTTCTCAGGACGGGACGGACCAAGAGCTCAGTATCCTCCTGGAGTCGACGCTAGCCTCGTACTCGTGCCCGTCCACATTCACGGCCACTCGAGCCACCTTCATCGAAATGGATGGAATAGTGAAATCGCGATCCGGATTATAGGAAAGTGTGCGAGGTACCTTCAAACCTTGCACAGAAGAGAGGGCTCGGGGCAGCGGTGAAGGAGGCTCGCAAAGAAAAAGCACCACTGTCCTCGAATTGGGATCCCATCTTCACGTGTGGGTCCACGGAGTAGGACGCGGACGGGGAGACGAGTGGGGGCGGAACCGAGAACGTAGCAGAGAACGTTCCCGGCTCGGTCCTCCTCCCAGTCCACGATGCGACCTAGGATCTTCACGTGAGTCCCTTCCTCCAGTCCGGATAATTCCCACACGTGGACTGGGATGTAGGACGGGATGCCTGTGCCCATGAAACCGGGTCGCTCCACTAGTCCGCGGTGAGGGGATTGCTTCACTCCCTCTCTCTCCCTCGCTCGCTTACATCTATACAGATACAAAGAGGCACGGTGGAAGAGTGACTCACACGGTGAGGCCATAGGGCATCCATTGCTTCACGGCAGAGCAGTGGCTTACGAGAGTGGACCCAGGACGCAGCATGGCTTACCACGGCCCTGCTTACGGACTCAGCCGAGAATGTCAGATGAAGGTAAGAAGCCTCTCCTTTCCTCACGTTACTGAAAGATACCGACAACACCTGCGACCTACAGAGAAAGAGAAGCGTGTGCCTCGTCCATCGGCGTATATTCTGTGAAATTCATGAGACTTTGTTCTAGAGCAGACAATACTTCCAGGAGAGCGATCAATTCATCGCAGAGTTCACCATTCCATATTAGGTAATGGATGTCTGAGTAGTCTTAAGCTTCCATGGCCGTTTTTGTATGACGTCACGCTCGGGGCGTGGGAGTTTTGCCGTTCACATCACTTTCCGCTGTTTTATTATATTTTTTTTCCGTGGATAGCCTGAACGAAGTGAGAAATTGCAAGGTCCTCGCAGAAGCCTTACCCGATTTACCATTCTGATAATAGTATTGTATGCCTAGAGATTCTCGAGTTTACGACCATCATTGATGACATTCACCGTCATGGGTGTGATTGCTTATCGCCTTTCCATTTTATTCCCCGTGACGGCGTAGGGGAGTTCTAAAATAATCACAGGAAATTTATGCAATATTTGAAAGGCCCTTATCTTTCATTGTCTTTCTTTCTCTCTCTCCCTCCCTACATGCGGTATGCAGGCTCAGGCTAAGTTCGACCTGAATCGCGCCAGAGAGGCCTTGCGATGGATATATGCTGTATTGGGTACAGACCATGAGGAGATCAAGGACCAACTGGATTTTTCCGCGCTTCTAAAAGATGGAGTCACCATTTGCGAGTAATTTCCCTCTATCACATCAGATGAAAACACCTGGGCCTCCCAAAACGGTCATATAATGATCACGGAAACCCGATTATTTTCAGGCTCATCAATGCTCTTCAGCCGGGAACCGTGAAAAAGATCAACACCATGAAGGCTCCATTTAAGCAGGTGAACTTCCCTCCCGTTTCCCCCGCATGCCTTTCACGATTGAGAATGGTTCATCATTGCAAAAAAAACTTCTTTCTGTATTCAGAGAGAAAACGTGGAAATGTTTCTGAAGGGATGTGAAGCGTACGGATTGAAATCTCAGGATCTGTTTCAAGTGAACGACCTCTACGAACACAAGAACCTGTACATGGTAGGCGTTTCTAAAACGATACTGCTATGTCTGTCCGTGCTCGTCTTCGTCTCTTGACGATACGATCCCGTATGTTTGGATCAGGTGGTGGATTGCATCTACGCCCTCGGAGGGATGGTGAGTCACTCTCGTCTCTATCTTCGCCGGAAAGAGGATCATCGTCACTGATGGATGTGCGTGGAAATAGGCGCAAAAGAAGGGATTCCCGGGTCCCCAAATTGGAGTGAAAGTGGCTGATGAGAATCGGCGGGAATTCACGCAAGAGCAACTGGCAGAGAGCAATCGAATCATCGGTCTGCAATACGGGAGCAACAAAGGGGCAAGCCAGGCCGGGATGACCGCATACGGGACCACCCGACAGATCCTCCCAGACGGTATTCTCATCACGATTCTCTTTTCGTTCGCTCACACACGCACATTCACTCGCACTCCTCCGTCTCTGCCTGCATGGGGTAGGGGCATTGCGTCACTGCACATGGTATGAATCGAGGGAGTGATAGCATAGGAGCCCGGGGCACGTATGTCTCTACGGACACGGTTGCATAAACCCTCGCCCATTCACCCCTCCATCTTCTCATACCCTAAGATCGTCGTCGCTGCGGTTCTCCTTTCAAAAAAGGAAAGGGACCACTCGCAGGGCAGATTGCATGAACGATGTTTATTTTAAACATTGATTATCGATAGCCATTGCTTAAAAATTGTCCATGAAAATATCGGTTAACCTTTGTCTACTTTCAATTGCGTTAACGATCCCCAAGCGCCCCTCAAGGTATACAGGGTGGGCCAAAAGTTTTTGCCCCTGTTTAAAAATGTGAATATCTCCTGAACGGTTTGGACTACAGAGTCGAAAAAAAAACTAAAAGAAAGTTCATTTCATCCTCTTTCTGAAAATATATGGTTTTAGGTTCCTAAATTCATTTGGAGATGAGTCATAGCCGTTTGAAAAAAACATACCGAAAAAAAAGTTGCCAAAAACTCTCCTTGCACAAGAAAAATCATGCCTGGAAACTGGTGCGTTCTCTACTGACCCTACTCTTTATTTCAGTACATCAGGAGTACCATTCGTTTTGCACGCAGTGAAGTCGGAAATGTGAAAATAGTATAATTTCTGCACGATTGCAAAATGAGGATATTCAAGAATCGTGTATGGATCCTGGTCACGTAGTGACAACCACAATAAAAATCCCTTCCGCATAGCGCACTGCTTGGACATCGATGAAATAGAAGCCTCAGCGATTGATAGTTGGCTGGGCATTCTATACGAGAGTCGTCAATGGCACCGATCATTCCTGGAAATCCGGCAATATCAAATAATTGTATTCGAACAACTACTTCGTTTTTCCTCCTGGGAATGTAATGAGTGACGCAAATGAAAAATGGCCTGCGCCATTCCATTTCTAGGGATCGATTGCACATAAAATCAAAGGGTCAGCAGAACATGCAAATCGAAAGGCTTTCATGACATTCACTTTACTTTCGGGTCATACTAATTTNTGCAAATCGAAAGGCTTTCATGACATTCACTTTACTTTCGGGTCATACTAATTTATTACTCAGGGGATGGGTTCGTGAATATATCACGATTCATTGCACACGAACAGTGATTGTTCTTATCTGTTGATGTAAAGTTAACCCTACACTGCATGGTGTGCCAGATATGGCACGCTCTGATCTGCATTGCAACCACATGAAAAAATATGATCGTCAAAAATATTTTTGGTACAGTTAGAAAAGTCATTCACTGTAGCGGTTAAGGGATCCCTTCCGCTACTTTCGTTCCTTTCGAGTTCAGTGCGAAGCAGGTCGACATCATTCACTGACCCCTTCCCAAATCGGTATCTCACGCGGAAGTTCTCATCGACATATTCTTCAGAGGGATTAAGCCCAGAACCGACGTTTAATTGTCCCATGCAACGATCAGAGCACATCGCTGATATCGACCGCTCAAAGATAATCCATTGCGCTTCACCAGTACACTGCAGTGCTATACTGATCGAGATAGTACACGAGCGCTGGCATAAATATCGACAAAACATGACCCATCCCTTGTCTAGAAATTACACCTTTTTCAGCTTGTTAGCCCATGGTTAGACAATGGTTAAAGGATGATAGCGTTCATGCAATCCATTTTTCACCTTAGACATTGGTTAACCGATGACTTTCAAAAAATACCGGGAAAACATCGTTCATGCAATCGGCCCATAGTTTCGTTAAGGGTATCCGTCGATTAGTTCTTCCTCCGATGGTATTTCACAATGTCGCTGTAATTATTGTGAAAATAATAGCACTACACATACACGAGAGGCATTCCAATTCCAGGTCAAGGGGTGGTTGCGCTTCAGACTCCGATTTGCTTGAATAAATGTTGGCATCCCAAGACTTATGAAAAAAATCAATTTTGGCACTCTGGTTCTAAAGGTTTTTGAGATATGCGACCCCAAACTCAGCTCCCAAAAGGAAATGTGACCTTTGGAGTTAAAGCGCTATCTTTCGTCCAAGTCGAGCTAGAAAAGTGTTTTTGAACTCTAAAGCTGAGACAATGCAGAATTGCATTATTAAATTCATTTTCGACTATGTTCATTGAAAACTAAGTTACACATTTTCCAAATGTTTAAATATTGACAAATTTTGCACGCGAATTTTGAGCACTAGGATGCATGGTAACGCAACGAGCTTTTGTAATATTGCAGACTAAAGCAATTGCAATGTTAAGAACTAAATTTCAACTTCTTACTTTGGTTGAAACAACTTGAAATTAAATTTGAAAAGTCCTATATTGGCTATTTTCATCA